TTCAATTCATTAGTCTAAAATTAAAATAATAATAAATAATAATAATAGGATAAAAGCTAATTTAAATACGACATAGGTAAATCGCGCGTACTAAGCAATGTTGCTTTAATGGACTTTAAGAGTCCGATAACGAGAATAAGTGGTAGACGTCATTTAGGTTCTCGCAAACGACTCTGAGCGGGTTGAACAGCTCATAATTAAATTTACACTGATTAAGCTTAACCAAGATAAAGTGCCTAGAGAAGCGTTTAGGGACATTAAAGCTTATTTCACCAAGTAATAAAGGCGAGTCAATAGCACCATTTATTACTTTAATTAGAAACGAAACGCCAAGAACAAATCTACGTTTCTCAAGAGACGGTAGGGACAGCAGAAGCAACCTATTTTCATACGGAGGAAGAGAGGCAATCGGATCCCAACCCAAATTTCTAAGGGCAAACAGCAAGAATTGCTTTTGAACACATTCAATTGAATCTACGTAGCACCTATATGAAGGAGACCACACAACTGAGGCATACTCGAGTACGGGTCTAACCAAACACATGTACAGCCTTTTCGTAATGTAGGGATCATCAAGCTCTTTGGACCACCTTTTTATAAAACCAAGCGCGGACCTAGCTTTGCTAATCGAGAGCTCAATATGCAAGTTAAAACGTAACCTATGGTCAAATAGAACGCCTAAATCTGTGATCGAATCGACATCCTCCAACTTATGCGAATCTATGAAATACTGAGTAATGAATGACTTTCTTCTTGAGAATGAAAGCTTCTTACATTTACTCAGATTTAGTTTCAGGAGATTCAAAGAGCACCATGCAACAAAATTATCCAAATCACCTTGAAGCTGATGTGATTGCGATTCAACAGAGAAGGAAGAAAACAGTTTCACATCATCAGCATACATTAAGATCTGGCTGGAATTAACCACCGATGGGAGATCGTTAATGTATAAACTAAATAAAAGTTAAACAAAACTCTGAAGGATCTATTGTGCAGATAAGAGCTTATCCATTTCACTAAGTAGGGTGGGAAACCAGAGGCTTGGAGTTTAAAGATAAGTAGTCTATGGTTAACCATATCAAGTGCTTTGCTTAAATCAGTGTAAATAACATCTGTGCGAGAGCCACTAGAAAAATCCTTGAAAACATGACAGGTAAACTCTAACAAGTTGGTGACTGTAGATCGCCCTTTCCGAAAGCCGTGCTGGTGCGGAGAAATATACGAATTAATGGCAAAGGCCAAATGCTGAGTCACAATACGCTCGAACAACTTAGGCAAGACACTCAACTTGGCTATGCCTCTGTAGTTCTCAACAAAATGTCTACTTCCACTCTTGTGGATAGGAATAAGGAAACTACTCTTCCAACATGAAGGGAAAACACCTGAATACAAGGACATGTTAAAAATCTGTGAGATCACACCACACAACTCGACAGCGCAAGATTTAAGTACACATGATGGAATTCCATCAGGTCCAGGCGAACAACTGTATTTTAGAGAACTCAACACTTTGAAAACATCATCTTCCGAAATAACCAAGTTAGGTATTGAAACCGAGTCAGTTATAGGATATGGGTAGTTTGCTGATAAATCGAAATTAGCAATCGAAAAGTTTCGTCGGAAATACTCAGCAAATAGATTTGAGATTTCAAAATCATCCGAGGAACCAGAGCCATTAAAAGAAACATGAGAGGGATATGTGGAAATTTTTCTTTTAGAGTTAACAAATTTAAAGAAGAATTTAGGATTAGCAAACAGAGAGGATTTAATGAACTGAAGGTATCTGCAGCAATAATGGTGGTTAAGGGAGTTAAATGTATGCCTCGCCACCGAGTAAGCGACATAATCGAGCGCAGAGCCACTTTTCGAATATTTTTTGAATAGCGAGTTTTTTCTATTCTTGTGATATTTAATTAAACAACGGGGGACATCTGCTTCGAGGTCGATAATGCTTGATCGGAACAGATGCAGCAACAGCTAGATTTAATGTATTGTAGAACGATGGCAATAAGCTTTCATTACTACCGGTTGAGAAATCAAGCGTCAGATGTGAAAGACGATGTTTTAGTAATACAATATTGATTTTATGAAAATCATAATAATTATTTCAAAAAGTTTGATTTGGCACATTAAGGCAATTCAACAAACCATCATTCATATGATGAAAGGAAATGCATATTGATGGATGATAAGGATCCTCAGGTAAACTAAAAGGTGGACAACGATTTACGTAAATCTCGGGAAAATTGGCAAAGCAGAGATGAAGCAGTCTACCATTACAATTAAGAGTACGATTATATTGACCCAAATTATGATCAAACAATTCTCTTAAGAATACAACAGCCCTATCAGACGTTGAAGTAGGAACCAAACAGCCAGAATTATCAGTGTTACACCAAGTGACTTGAGGCAAATTGAAGTCACCCAATGCAACGACCAAATCGGTGGATCTAGACCTCTTGGCCACTTCACAAATGAGGGCAGAGTGCTTCCTGTAAATGGAGATATCAGAATTTGGGAGAATATAGGAGCAGGTTATAAATAGATGTTTATCAGGCATATTCGCACGGATAGCGATAAGTTCAACGTCAGGAGAAGTGGGAAATTCAATTATATTGGACGGGACTGACGCAGATATGGCAATTAATACACCACCACCAATGCGATTCACTCGATCATTTCTAAACACTTGGAAAGAATTATGAAAAAGTTCCGACGAATGTAGATGGGGTTTTAGCCAAGTTTCAGTAAAGGCCAAACAGAAAAATTCCGTGCTCACTGAATTTAGAAAAGTAGAACGAATTTTCGAATTTAGGCCCCTAACATTTTGATAAATGAGAGATAGTGGCCCTGAAGAAACAATTAGTTTTTTGAAGGCGACAAGATTATTGCCTTGGTATTACGGGGACGATCTCGAGGGATAAATTCCTTAATTAAGGATCCTACTGGCCACAGTGATTTGTTTAACAACATATCACTGTTTTCAGTCGGAACTAATATTTTAAAAGAGGAGATTGCCCTAGCTTAAGAAGGAGCCATTTTGAAGATGCTAACACGCTTTAAGTTGACTGATGGGACTTTCGTCGCCAGATAACCTTTTATGTTATATCGAGTAGCGAAAGAAGTGAGCGAAATAAACAAGAGATTAAAAGTGTGTTACAGTCAGATGACATTACATGATATGACAGTTGAACAGCTGAGCTGAGCAAAGGTACTTCTTTTCCAACAAGGGATAGTGTGCAAAAATAAAGGTCCACAATGCTATAACTTTCGAAAATCATATTGTCATATGATTAGATAAAAATGAATTGCCAAAAAAAAAGTCCTACCAAAAAGACGAAAGAAGGAAACCTTATTTTCCGCATTGTTTTTCGTAACACTTTATTGCCGTCCTGATTGTAGTTGTTTTAACCGTCGTCAACATTAAAGTAAAAATCAACCAACTATACATAGTAGGAGCAATAGAAAGGAGAAAACCCTTTTGACATCAAAGTGTGCCTTTTGTGTAGCATTGAAAAGACTGCGTTGATTTGATGTAACAAGTTAGGCCAGAAATGCCTGTAAACGTAAGTTTGACTGAAAACCTTCTAAAAAAGAAAGTTTAAAAAAATTTTAGTAATGATTTTATTTTCATAGCTGCAATATTTAATAAAAAAAATTGACAGAATTGTGGATATTTTTTGGTTTTTTGAGCCATAAGAGATATGTCTGAACAAGTCAATCTTTTGGAAACAGTAAAATTTTCCGTAGTTTGTATTGTAAATCCTTCAATTGTCCAGAAAAAATTCCTCTGTGAATCTTCACAACGAAAATGATTTAATCTTTCGCTATTAATGCCCATTTGATCAGAAAAGCGTACACAATATTTGTCTGATACTGGTTTGTGATTACAAAAATTGTCAAACAAAGTATTCTATTTCTCCGAAAAAGATTCAAATCGTTGTCACAGAGTTTTACTCCAAGTCCTTTTTGAAATTTGTTCTTACCTTTCTCAACTGCAATTCTTTTTCCAAAATTGGGAACACCGACTCAGTTAAGATATTCATGTTATAAGGAACTTTATTTAACTATTCGCTCAAAAACACTGGTTTTTAAAGTTTTGCAGTTTCTCTGCGAATGAATTGGTAGATTAACCATAATTTATAACCAGAATTTAAAGAGAAACAGTTGAACGTGACTGTATGACAAAACAAAAACGCACAATAAATACGGAAAGTACGCCAAAGTTTGGTAGTTTTCTTTCGTAAATACTTTGAGTGTAGTCTTAGTGGTAGTAACTTGGGACTTGATAAACGAAATAAACCTAATTGTTTCCTTTAAAGACGACAGCAACTGTTGTTTTGATGGTCGTTTGATAAGTTTCAAAGTCAACCGATATGAAACACCTATCATTAAAAAAGTATTTCGGGTGGTTTTGCCAGCAACCAATTGTAGTTTTATTATTTAAAAATCGACGCTATGACAAAGTTAAGGGCGATTTTGGTCTTTTTCGAAATTTTCAACCATTACATAGTACGTACAGCATATAAACATAATTAAATAGTGATGTTATCCTTGTTTTTTATTGCTTACCTGTATAATTAATGGCTTGTCTTCAGAACAAGTCTGCAAAGCATCTTTACGGTATTTGGCGTCTTTGGCAAATAAATTGCTATGAAACATGGGTGAATAGCAGAGGTCAGCTTTGTATTTTCGGCATAACATACGCCAAGCCAACTCGCTTTGGTCAACCATTGGTGCCACCTAAAAGAAATTTAACAAAAATTATTTAATTCTCCGTTAGTTTTGCACAGGTGGTTTGGTCATTTTGTTCCATTTGAAATAAAATTAAAATTAAACTAAACTTAAACTTTTTGTTTTCTTTAAGGCTGAGCGGCCAACATGTATCTGCTGGTTACTATGAGACAAAAATCCAGCTTTCTGCGGTTATCGTGGTCCCACGGTTAGCTGAGAATTGTGGACATTTACATTATGATAATATATCTTCTGATACCTTTTCAGTTCTTCTTGTGTACTAGAAATCTGAACCGTATTGTTCCGGTAGCTCCGTAATCGCTCCATGTAACTCAATCGAGGAATGCAAGTTCAAAATGAGCGTAAATATTTATCTTTCATAAACCACTTAGAGACATTTAAAAAAGCCCGATCAGTTTTAATAGAAAAGTCGTGCTACCATTCGATTACAATTTTATCTTAAATACTTACAACATATTTAGGTGAACCCAGAATTTTATGATAAAATTCATAGCCCTCAAGTTTTGAGTGCCTGGCAGTGACATTTGAAGTAGTTTTGGTGCCGACTGTGGCAGTTGTTAAGTTGGTTTGAGACATGTTTAGCGTACTCAAGCTATCAAAGAAACAAATATTAAGAATTTAAGAAAATATAAAATCAAATTAAAAACAAGCAAAAGTATTAAACATTATAGTTGGACAAGGCCGGCTATTAGGAACACTTTCATTTCACTTAATAGGATTCGTTGTTTATTTGCTTGATAAAATACCTTGTCTCCATGAAGAGAAATGGAAGAAGTCTGAAAGCGTGAGCTCACGTGGTGCAAATCTGGCCAAATTGCTTTTCTTGTCAAAGACTTTAATGTTCATGACCTGTTATCGTCAAGAGCACTAAAAACTAGATTTTGCTGTCGTATAACATGTACAACAAAAACAACAAACAAACTGGGTGAAACTGCTTCCAATTTAATCGCAGTGACATAAACTGACGGATATGAAAGTTCGACTGCTAAAAATGCATTGATTAAACTAACGAAAAAATAGTTTTCAGACGCTTGTCAATTGCTGAAAATACACTAATCAAAAGAAGAGGGAATATAAAGCAAATATAAAGCAACCAAAAATTGTCGAAACAATTAACAAGTACCAGGAGGTATTCAAGATACACAGCCATCGCCTCATGTAAGATGAACCGGAAGTATAATCAAGAGAATATGCCCACACAAATACTGCGAATATATGCAGTTACCTAATAATTCATTTAAATATATTATATATTAATATAACTATTAATTAAGTTATCCTGAAGTACATTAAGCTTAACCTACTATCTGCAAAAGGATAATATGTGCTTTTCAAAAGTGTAGGTGTCTAATTTAAGAGAAATTTTAACTTAAGATGGGAATATATCTTATAAAAACTTACACATAGAAACGTGATCAATATCAATTAAAAGAGGCCTTAAGCAAATTGCGTCAAATATTGGTCAGTATTAACCAAAATTCAAAATCGTGCAGAAAACATTAAAGGGACAAAAAAACAAAGAAAATATAGAGCCGGCACATAGCAAATGGTGAAAGAATATTGCTCGAAAGGAAACATTTTTTTTAAAATGGCAAGGAACATAATCCTTATAAGAAAATACCCTCGTCATCCATCCAATCATCGTTCACGCCTTTGGAACTTGCACAAGCCCATCCATTTTACCTCAGTGATGAAATTGATGTCATGGATCGTTAGGAGACCGTACAAATCAATAAAGATATCAAAGATATAAAAGCAAAATAAACATAATACTGATACGATCGGCAACATCGTGTATGAAGTCATTAACAATAATGACACAAGAAAACTTGTGCAATTCAAATCTGACTCGGGCAAATGTTCTATCAAACGTTGTGGGAAAATAATTGCCAAATTCAAAATAAGTGACGTGTATGCTAACGGAAAACTTAGGTCAATTTTTCCAAAAGTTTGAAACAGAAGTCGGTACATTAGGATATTTACGATTCAAAATGTTACCATGCGAGAAGATTTTCGAATCTGTATCGCAAATTCAGTTTAAAGTAATGCGCAGTAAAATTTTAAAAAATATAAGAGTAGTGCTACTTCAAAAGACGACAATAATAGACAAAAATAGTAAGAATGAAATCAAAGAAATTTTCACAAACTATCATAACGATCCCATAGAACGCCGTCATATAGGAATTACAGGTACCTTAATGAAAACAGGAATATGTTATTACTGGTCACAAATGACAAAAAACAATATCTAAATATGTCAAAGAGTGGCCACAATGCCAAAGGGCTAAAACGGCAACACATACCAAGCCTCCTGGCATATTAACACCAATAGCATCAACCGCTTTTGAGACAGTAGTCATTGACATCATCGGCCCTCTATCACATGCGGAAAGTGGCAACGAACACGCGATGATACAGATCTGTGACCTTACCAAATATCTCGTTATAATGCCAAAACCGTGTCAAAGCCAATCTTTGAAAATTTTGTTCTAAACTATGAGGACACTCAAAACGGACCATGGTACAGAATATAAATACTCTTTAATAAAAGATCTATGCAAGTAACTCAAACTAGACAAAGTAATATCGGCAGCCCGTCAGCGTTTAACACTTGATACAGTTGAACGCAGCCAAAGAACATTAAACAAATATATCCGTGGTAACGCTTAGAGCTTGGACTTTGTTTCGCCTGGCTAGCCCAGCTACATTTGCAAAATAAATTATAAGCAAATTAAAAATATCGGGATTACTAACGGCATGACGTCAAGTAACGGTCTTACGGTCCGTCTGTATTTTTTACCTGTCCGCAAACGCTACGTCGGTGCAGTTCGTCAATTGAATGTTACTGACTGTCACAATCTAAGGCCTAATTTTGATTTTACTCTTTAATCTGTTTAATTTTTTTCTTTTAAAATTATAAAAATTCCTTCTTCAATTCATAACGCGAATGTACATTCGGCGAGTCTTAAAAAAGGTGAGTTGAATTATATTGTTAATTAAATTAGTTATTTAATATTAAAATTTTAATTAATTTTTTTTTTTTTACCTAAACAACAATTAGTGATTTTGTCTTTTACACAATTGTCATTATTTTAATTACTCATATTGATTATTCTTAATATTAAAATGTTTGTTAACTAATTTATTTTGTTTGTTACTGGTTGGCGAAGTAGGTTTACTCATTACACGCTCACACACACACACTTCCAATTACAACACATAACAATTATAAAAATTCTCTAGGGCTAATTTATCGTATGGACCCCTCAAACACGGCGAGCAAGTCAAATTTTGTTAAAAGCCCTTTGAGTATGCTACACCGTTGGCCAATATACGCTAATAAACCAGAAACACAAGACTATTTGAGTCCTTCTGGATGTTGCATATATCCGCATATACTTTATATAACTATGTAAGGTATTTAAGTCATGATATCAAAATAGTTTGCAATTTTTGATGTTAGAGTTTGTACTCTAATAGTTACTGTAAAAAGTTTTTTTTTTTTTTTTTCTTCATCATGAAAGCGTTAAAACGAAAAATAATAAAAAAACGAAAACGTGAAAAAGCTGTGTTTGGCACAAAACGAACCTCGATTAATCTTCACAATATTCCACCTTTGTTTTGTTTTATATATTTCACATCATCGATTTTTTTGATATGATGTAAAAAATTCATAAATCGAACAAGTTTTGAATCCCGATGTAAATTTTGAAAACTCCAAAATGTCGTTAGGGGATGTTTAGCTTTTTGAATTATAATTCCTTTCATTAATAAAAAGAACAAAAATTTGATAATAAATTATTTGCTATGAAACCTTTCAACAAAAATCTTATCCCATTCGCTGCACTTACAAAAATGTTCACATTGGACAGTTTGAAATATGAAAATATTGTAAAACAAAAAATTGTATCTGAAAAGGTTAAATAGATTGGCAAACGCAGCTCTTTAAGAAGAAAAAGTAAATCTATTTGTTTGCATTTTCAAATGCCACAAATTAAATGATAAAAGTTGCACGTATTTTTCGTTGGTAGACAATATGTATATCGAAAAAATGAAACCATGAAAGAGCGGAGCAAATAACTGTTAATAAGAGAAAAAAAAACACAAAGTGATTCAGGCATGAAGTGAAAACATGCAGCCTACCTAGTTAGAGTAAATAATTTCCACTGTCTAATGCATCTACATACTATTTACAGCATGTTACAATTTCTAAATGGCTTTATATTTCTCAATGTTTAATGGAATTGTGCCCTTTAATGACAAAAAGCCGTTTTCAACAGGTCACATTTGACTGTCCGTTGTTCAGGAAATTATTGTATTGGAGTCAAGCCTCATTTGATTTCTTGAGATGTTTTATAATAAATAAAAAAGTTTGCAGAAATTGTCCCCACTTCTAGTTTTAAAGACTACTCTTCTGCCGGGATATGGGGAACCACCCAATTACGTCGTGGCAATTTGCCTTCATCTTTTTACACATTTTCTTATGAGTGAAACAGTTTAACTAATTGGCGCTAGAACTTGAGGAAGAAAAAGTTTATCGCCGTAGCTAGCAAATTATCTTTGCAATAGAAATCGAGTTTAAGTTTAAAAAAAAAAATTTCTTTTTTCTTAGAGATTTAGTAGCAAATGATTCGCTTAATGCTAACTTTAGTCCACAAGGTTTTATACATGCTTTAAATAATAAAACCTATCTGTCGCCTGCAAAGGATAACAATATTGCTTTTAGACATAAAGGTCGGGAATTCAAAAGACAACATATGAATCGAGGTGGTTTCAGGCCCGCTCATTTAAATTACTCTCATATGACTACGAATCGAGGTGGCTTCAGACCCGCTACTCTCATATGACTATGAACCGAGGTGGTTTTCAGGCCCACCCATTTAAATTACTCTCTTATGACTGTGAATCGAGGTGGTTTTCAAAATGGCTCATTTAATTACTCTCGTATGACTGTAAATCGAAGTGGATTTTAGACTCGCTCTTTTAATTATTCTCGTATGACTGTGAATCGAGGTGGTTTCAGACCCGCTCATTTAAATTACTCTCATATGACTACGAATCGAGGTGGTTTCAGGCCCGCGCATTTAATTACTTATATCAGTGTAAAATAAAAACTAAAGTAAACAAAAGGAAAATTTTAGTATTGCTCTGCTCTTTGTTAATAATTCAGTTGTGTGTGTAAGCATCAGCGGTTTTTCAATCAATTCATTTACTCGCATTGCATAAAAAGACACAAGGGCTAGCGGCTATACTTCTATTTTTATAGTGACGATGGATATATGTTAACTTGCGGATCTGATGGAATATACGAAAATGGCAAGGTATTGATTGAGTTTTGTCATGCAAGTAAAAGAAGTAAAGAAAAAGAAAAGCATTCTTTGAAATCATATATTGATTGGCCATTTTCTGTTAAGACGACCGATATGTTAAAAAACCTCCAAAACTGTCAAAGTAAACAAGTAAACGAAAAGAGAAAGAAGAAGAAAAAAGAAATGAAGTAAAAAATCACAGTGTAAATCAATTTCTATTTATATTATTTACACAAACTTAAGGAGCCGTTGGGGTTTTTTAAAGAAAGCATTCCAATAATCG